AAAGAGAGAAAGTAATTCTTCTTAAAAAGCTATTCAAGCATTGATTGCACAAAATAACAAACTTCCCAATTTTCTTGATTCCAATACGCCCCCAGGCCAACAAGCCCCTGGACAAATACAATCAGTTGTGAGCAGCCACGCGGCGGACGCCACCCTGGCATGTAAAATACTTCCCTCGACACAGCAGGTGAGCCGGGATAACGTGGAAAAAAAACAAATACAGCAAAATCGTTGCGCAAAGGACCCAAGGGTTTGTTGATGCCAATTTCTCCCCACTTACCGGTGAGAGTGGTCTTCGTGGTTGCGCCCTCATTTCTTGGTACGATGACTTTTTCATATTGATCACCTGCCAGTGTGCTGTACACCACCTGGTAGGCTTCCACCTCCACATGCAAATAATTAAGTAGATTACAATTATTGATTACCCTCGGTTTATTTTCATCTTAAAATGGAAGACTCCAGGCTTCCACCCCCACATGCAAATAATTAAGTAGATTACAATTATTGATTACCCTCGGTTTATTTTCATCTTAAAATGGAAGACTCCGATCAAGAAAGTAAAACACACATACACACACACACACACACAAAGTGATTACATAGTATGATAGCATGCACAGTGGAACATTTTCAAGGGGGCGTTCAGCATGCACACCCTCTTATAAGGATTCAGCAGACACCTACAACACAATTCCCTTCAGCTGTTTGGGAGATTTTGTTATGGTCCAGTGAAAGTAAGATTGAACTTTTTGACCTTATTCCCAAAAATTATGTTTGCGGAAAATACAAGATTGCTCTTCACTATTGGTCACATGAATAGTGGAAAAAGTTTCCAAACAATTTAACTTGAGCTTAAATTTTACATGACCAAAAGCCTAGCATTTGAGCTTTTGTTTACAATTTTTTTTAATATCCACAGTAACTATAGTGGTAATGGAGTATTTCTTACAACATGTGTCATTTGTAACTTCAAAGTGTCATATTTCGGGAACATCATAAACAAAGTCCTCCAACGACCGGCGGGCGGAGTGCTCAGGGAGCTTACCTGTGCCTCACTGTTGTCCCATTCCAACTCCAGGGTGGTGGAGGTCTTGGAGAGGAGGCGCAGGTTCTTGGGGGCGTCAATCTCTGAGAAGAACGATAAAGCTGACAATGTTGGGGACACTGAGACCGTTTCTCAGGGGGGGTTTGAACAAGCAGACATGAGCAGCGTAATCACCGTCACAAACGCATGCAGTTAGGCTACAATCATTGCTCGGTGCTTGCGTTAACCACTCGAGCACGGCCTAATATCAGGCGTGCAAACTTTATTGGACTCTGCCAAATGACCTTGAACAGCACGGTACATCAGGCCATATGTCGTCAACAGTTCTATTCCTCGGAGGCAGGCTCGGGATAGCGCGCGGCATGATTACCACATCTGCTTGCTGTCAGCCCTCACCGGTTGTAAATTCAATGGAAATGGATCCGCTGGTGTTCCCGTTCCTCACGCCGCTCACAGACACCTCGTAACGCGAACCGGGGCGGAGGACCTTCACAGCAAAGGAGGCGCGGTTGGTTATTTTGGAATCAGGAGCGGGTGAACATTTTGTAGTCAAGGGGCCACGTTTCGTTTTTAAAAATAGATAGCACGGCATTCGTAGATATGGTTAGAAAAAAAAAAAACTTTTAAAAATAGATAGCAGGGCATTCGTAGATATGGTTAAAAAAAAAAAAAAAAAACCTTGCCCATCACTATTTTCAATTTTCGTGATACCACATGGCTGTAGCGGATCAATGGAAAGCGTCCCACCCACTCACCTGCAGGGTGTACTGGCTGAGCGTGGGCTGGAGGCGGAAAGTCGTACGCGGGCCCGCTCCTCCCACGAGGCCGTAACGCAAGACAATCTGATCAATCTTGGCTTTTGGCGGGGTCCACTCGAGGAATGCCACCGTGTCCGACACATCGCGCACAAACAGCTGAGTGGGGCCGTCGATCACTGCAAACAACGGGGAATTCATTTTGCAACATTTTTGTGAATTAGCCACACTGTTAGAAACAAAGAGATTTCTCTCTTTACTCTCTGATGTCCACGTTTGAACTGTAGCCTTTAATTTCACTTCACTCGATACTTTAGAAAGCCAACGTCGACCGACAGTATGTTTGACGGTAATCCCTACTTATGTCGTATTCCAGTTTCTTGACAACGTAAATTTTAGCTTGTCATGCGCTGTGAGCAATCATCATTTGTTCAATGAAATATTTCATTTTGCATGTCGTCGCTTTTTGAATCACTTACTGCGATAAGAATTCCATTTTATGCAAATGTATTGCGCTGCACCCTTTATAAAGACCAACTTGACGTTTGGGAAATAGAGCAAATCTTTTCCAGGGTGTCCATTTGAGAGGAACATTCCGTGCTGCGATGGCATTTTTTTATTTTATTTTTTTTTTATTCTTGTGCGTGTTGACCCGCGGGGGGGAACTCAAGTGAATGGCATGTTTGCCACAATGTGCAAAAAGGGAAGCACGCACTCCTCAAAAGTATTTCCTTGAGCTTTCTGGGTGGGGTGGGGGGGGAGTAAGAGACTCAAGTTTGACACATTATAGTCCAACCTACTCCCTTGATGTAGTCACAATTTGGCCCTTGGGCCTCGTCCTAGAAAAAAAAAAAGAGCCTCAGGAAGACAACAGCCAAGAAGCATCTCCTTCTGCTTTTTCCCTCGGACACCTCATCATACTTTTCCCTCCATCTCCAAGGAGGAATCTATCTTTCTCATAAATAACCAAGTGCCTTGAAATTCGCCTGAACACTCTGAACGTGAACCAATCAGGTGTCTTCTCACGGGCTGCCATGAAATATTAATGAGCAAGCGGCATGAATTTTTAAATTGTACTTAATTACGGCTCATAACTTGAACAAAGTCTTGACGGGAAATTGATGGTGTTTGGACTGCGGAGATGAGAGTCTGAAATTTGATGAACAACTTTTGAATTGAATCTATTAGAGACGCGCTCGTGAAGCCAGCTGGGTGTGGAGTAAAGGTGATACATCACTGAGACAGAGGCGGCTCATCAGTATGCTCCTTTCTGTGTGTGTGTGTGTGTGTGTGTGTGTGTGTGTTTATTAATATGTCACGACCTATGCGTTGAATGTGATTTGCGACTTTTTGTTTGAAAAACTGTTTTACAGGCACCCTGTGGGGTCCACAGTCATCGTCGGTCTGTAAAAAGTAAGCAATGGGCCCATCCCAGCTGACTTGGGAGGCACGGACGAGACCCACTTGGAGTCACTGAAATCACCGTCCCATGTAAAACCTTGTTTTACAGGCACTCTGTGGGGTCCACAGTCATTGTCGGTCTGTAAAAAGTAAGCAAATCGGCCCATCCCAGCTGACTTCGGAGGCACGCACGAGACCCGCTTGGAGTCACTGAAATCACCGTCCCATGTAAAACCTGTAAAGTTCGAGACTGTTGGCTTTCGATAAACCGCCGGCGGGATATACAAAGCCACTGGGATTGCATTTTTCTGGTAGTATGTGTTTTAAATTGATCTATATGTCAGATTATTACAATACTGTCCACATAGTTTGGAGGTTGTTCCAATTATGTTCACAAAATATACAATTTTACATGAATCGAAGCAATCAATAGGGTTTAAAAAAAAATGCCGTAAAGCAGGCCGTCGACGCCGAATTCAGTACGTACGTGTCGTGACGGTGGCGGTAAAGGGCTGACTGCGACCCTGGTCTCTGAGGGCCACCAGGTTGACTGTGTACTCCTCGCCCGGTCTCAGGCCAGTTTGTAGAAAGGATGTGATGGTGCTGGGCAGCTGGGCAGTCATTCCACCATCATTGTCCTGAGGCGGGAGGGGAAAAAAGCCCGATAGGATGCACAATTGAATTGTTTGGCATTCAAAGGCAGCATGTGTTTGTGGTCTGATGCAAGTCTGTAGGATGCGCAGTGAATCCCCACATGTTCGCAGTTTGGCATTTGCAAATTCATTATCAGCAACATCTTTCGAGTATTATTCCACTCCAAGTAGAGGAAATGTTGTGAAAGACAGATGTCACACCTGCATCTCCTCACAAAAGCCCACAAGATGAAGGCTTGTGTCGCGGGACATAAAAAGTGCCATTACGGCTGCAATCAATTTAAATGAACCGCCATTGCCGGGATGGGCAGTGGCAACAACAACTGTGATGTTTCAATAAGAACACGTGCCCAGACTCGGACAGACAAGGCTGCATAAAACGAAATGATTACGCATAACAATGACAGTCCAATTTTCTGTTACCGTATTTTCCGCACTATAAGGCGCTCCCTCAATGAATGACCTATTTTCAAACTGTTTTCATATATAGAGTGCACAACATTATGAGGCGCATAGAATAGAAGCCACAATTAGTGCATAACACATCCACTAGATGGAGCTATGCTAAAGGGAATACAATACAATACAATACAGCTTTATTTATACAGAGCTTTCACAACCGCTGCAGCGGTAACAAAGCATTTTACAGTACATTTATACTACAATACTACGTCTAAGAACTCGGACTATTGATCCATGTAAACCGTATCAGATGAAAAGGCGCATAAAATTTAATATTTTTAAGTGTGTCTTATAGTGTGGAAAATACGGTACATTTTCCTCATTATTTCGTCCTGAATTTCCTCCTACAAGAACACTTGAGATAGCATGTTTGGTTCATCTATAAGAAGAGATGCATGCTGTTGTTCAAGATGGACTTGACGGCGCAATGTGCTTTCATCAGGGGCCACATTATAGTTACGGTTGTTCTTGGGGACCATTTACAAAGGTTCGAATATTGTCTCCATACTGAAATTATGGCTGCAATTTATTAGGATTGTTTTTATGATGGAAAACTAGATTTGGAGTTGAAGAAACATTTTGGCAACCGCTCAAAACCCGTTCAATCGAAGGGGTTCCAAAAATTCGGAATTTCAATGTTTCCCAATCGTTTGAAAACTTTAGACAACAAAATCTCTCAGAACACTTGATTATAAAAAGCCTCAGAACTTTTCCATCTTCTGCGTCAGCCTCCCCACGATGCATATGTATCGCAAGCTGTTGGGATGTACAGGCGACAAGATGCAGCAAAGTATCTGAGACTTGCTATTTTCTCTCCTCCGAGAGCGACGGGATGAGTCACAACGTGCAATTTGAGCAGCGGCGAAGCCACACGCATCATTTCACACAACTTCACGTTCCCAAAGACGTTACGTGATTCAAAGAAATCCTGATGCGTCGTGATCTTTGAACTGTTTTGAGAAGCGCTTCAAATTCTTCAGCAAAACATTGTGACGCTCAATTGCTGCGGTGTATTTTCTGGGTTGGGAGGTGCAGGTGGGGGGGGGGGGCGCTGCCAAGAAACTATTTTTTTCTCATGTTTGCCAAAACTTCACAACTCAAACAAATCTCGCAAATCGAATCAACATGTTATTTTAAGGAATGCCCGCAGATGATTTATGTCTGTGTTGGAAAAGACAAAGAGAAACATCGGCCATAATGAAGTACATATCTGCTGGAAAATGTCACCTCTGCTGTCGTGGCAGAATGTGAAGTTCACCCCTCCTCAATTGGCAACAAATGAGACAAGTGTTTGCATAAACAAAAGCCCTAATACACATTTCCATTAGGAGATTGTCAAAATTCACAATCCCCCTTCTCCCCCATTTCTGGATTAAATTCACAGGGGAGGGCAGGACTTCAAACTCCTAATGTGATTTCCCCCGGCGGCTGCGAAAGTACACGAAGACGGGTGGCGGGTGGGGAGGGAGGAGCGCTTGCAGGGAAAAGAGGAAAAAAAGCCAAGCAGGGTGAACGAGGATGGAGGTTACCTTTGGGGCGAGGCGGCCGTTTGGCGATCACAACGAGGAGGTGGGAAATGGAAGAGTTAAAAATGGGATGGAGGGATGAGTGGGGAGTTGGATGTTACTGGAATGAGAGAGAAAGAGGGCAAGTACCATGAACGACCGGATGTGGAAAAAGAAGACGGGTGCGCTAAAAGCAATACAATCAAATTAGGAGGGACTGTTTTTGTGGTTGTTGTATTTAATTTTACTTAGAGACGTTCAACATTTAAAAGGGCTTGAAAAAAATATATACCCCCCCCCCCACCAACAAAAAAAAGGGGGGGACCGTATCGTCACATTGAAAGCTTAGAAACCGGTCAAATCAAAGCACATCTTCCCCCATAGGAGACCTTAAAGGAGAAAACCAATTACTGGGAGAGGGCTGAGATTAAAGTGCCCAGAGTACCTGAGTTTGCCGCCAGATTTAGAAGGAGAAAGGTTTTTGATTACTGGCTTTGGACCCAGTCTGACTACGGTTGAACAAAGGGTTATGCTCTCAAAGGGGTTTACCGGATCATCCTTTTAATAGCCAATAAGCTTCACACAATCCGGCAGTCTCATTCAAAACAGACTTTGAATTGGGCAAAACCAATGCATTGCCATATTTTGCTGCCTAATACCGCATGGATTCAAAACTCATTTGAATGCCAATGCTTCCATTTGAACTTTTTTCCCCCCTAAATCTCATTGAAGTCTCCCCATGAAGGAAAAAAAAAACATGAAAAAAATAAAAGCATATTTGTTAAAATGGGTATTAGCGACCTGTCAGTAGTAGAAGAGGAAAACAATATTTCCGCTTCACAAATACATACATTGTTGCCTGTTTTGGATTGTGCGTTTCAAAAATAAAACCTCAAATAGATATTTAGGGCTCTATTTTTTTGCAGCTAGCGGCAAATGTGTCTTGTTTTTCGTGCAGGTGCAAGCCTCCTTTAGCGTGTTTGGAAATTCGGCAGACCGCACTGCGCCTGGCAATTTGGTGGCAGAAAGTAGACGAATGTTTCGACCGGGTAAAAGCAGGTCTAAGTTGTGGCGTAGGTTATGCAACGCGATTTCATCAAGGTGTAGGCAGGACAGATCCTGAGCTCCGCTGACGTGCGTGGTGGATGTCATCTGATTTCATTCATAACTCTGAGAACAGCTTGCATCTACGTCAATCAGGCTCACAGGGAGGGGCGTGGCTTTGGTCAGAGAGTTCCGGGTGAGGTTAGTGACGTGAGTCTACATGCAAAAATTTGCAAGCAGTTTTGACAAACTCCCTATTTAATAGACCGTTGGTCGTCGTACAGTACCTTCGGGATGAAGCTGATCTCCCAGCCATCGAAGGAATAGTAGGAAGGTTGCCACTGGACCTCGACTGACGTCTCGGTGATGGATTTGAAGACTAAACCATCTGGATTGGAGAGATCTGGTGTGGAAGTGAGAGACGGATTATTTTCCTTCCGTGACCCGCATTGGCACATAAATCACATGCATCGCATGCTGAAAGTGTCCAATGTTGAACTTTTCCCTCATGCATTTTATTTGTTTGTTCATTGCTCCGTTCCTTTGCCTCTCATTTCCAAATGACATTTCACTTATTAGACTGGGAAGCCTTTCAAAAAAAAATGCTTTTTTAATTACTCGTGGAGCAATTATTTTCTAGTCTCTGGTGTGCTTCAAGTCATTTACATTTTGTATATGAAGACCAAGTACTGAGCCACTTTATGAGGGATGGAAAGATCCAAGCCATCCTTTTTCGAGAGCGCTTGTCCACATGAGATCGTGGGTGAGCTGAGGTAAGAAACAAGTACATACTCCATTCTACAGTACATAAAAATCACAGGTCGCATCATAAATACATAAATAAATATCATATTTGATTGATTTGGAAATACTCAAATATGCTGAACATTTTATGCTTCCCATGACTTATTTATGGAGTGGATGTCTTCCTGTATTTGGAAGTGGATGCAAAACACCTTCAAAAGCTATGCCTGTGCGCGTGTGTGTGTGTGTGTGTGTGTGTGTGTGCGTGTGTGTGTGTGTGTGTCTACTGTATTTGCATGGGTGTGTTGGGGTGGGAGGAAATGGGAACCAGGTGGCACGGTGGAGCAGGTGACATTCTTACTCCGTCCATGCTCAGGAGCGTACCACATTAGTTTTCTTTATGCATTGAATCTGAAAATGAATAAAACATGGCGGCAGGCTTACAGGTTGCGACAGTAATGCTGGCAGGAACACTGATGCTGTTATTAATGACGGCAAACACATTGATGTTGTACTCCATTCCTGCATCCAGGTCTGAGATAGTGCAGGATGTGGTATTCCCCGGGAGCCGGATTTCTAGTTGGATACCTGAGAGATGGAAAAATAAACACGAGGTTGATCTTTTCCATTATTTAGAAGCTTATTGTCAACTGAATTCTGTGGAGGCGTCCAGTGCGTTTTTGACATTCAAGCCCATCATCAGACTCACCGCCCGGGCTGCTTGGTGTGTATGTCACGAGAAAATCCGTCAGGACCACAGAACCGTCCCACTCCAGTTCGATATCTCTATCTGTTACACCTCGGACTTTCAGGTTCATGGCAGGTGCCACTGTTGGCGGGGGAGAGAACAAGCTAATTCACCTGAGTATTGCAATGCTTGCGCATGCTACAACCACTTATTAATAATTGTTTTTCTGATATTAACAGCCAGTATTTGGACCGGAGCTTCGGGCCGTCGTGACCGTTTGAGAACGCCACGTGATCAGCCACGGGTTCATGCACATCAAAGAGAGAAAGCCGAAGAGGGAAAGAATAGAGAAAAAAAAATGGCTGATACACAGATTTGTGATGGGGGTAATGAAAAAATGGTAGTTATATTTAATTGGCATTTGCATTGTCAAGGGGTCCCTGGAAAACCAAATCTCCCTTGTAATGTGTAACGACATCCAAAACCAAATTGAGAACCCGTCTCTATCGTTCTATGCACTGCTGTCAACTTCTCAAATCTGCAGGTGTTGTGTAAGCTTTGTTTGTGCCAGCTTGTGAAAGGAAATGAACAGCCACAAGCAACCAAGTGTTAACGCGAAAGGCAGAGCACGGTCCTGCCAGGTTGAAGTGGCAATAGTCAAGTCAAGTCATGTGCTGAGAGCTGGTGTTGAATTGTAATGCGCCTGCATAAAAACAAGAGTGTTTACAGTTCAATTGCCCACCCCCCACCCCCAAAAAAAAGACGACAGTCAAGGAAGGGAAAGAAGCGAAAGGCACGGCGGAGAAGACCGAAACACATGACGCCGTTGGTCGGTGAAGTAAGGAGACAGACGGATGCACGCTCAGACGGGAGATAAGAGGGGAGGGAGGAGGTGGCAGTCTGAAATGGGGACATAAACTGAAGAGGAAAAAAAACAGCAGAGTTAGAAATGGCATCTCCTCATCATAATCTGCGCGTCCTGTGATATTGGACATTACAATCCTCCACGGGGAACCTTTGGATACTTTAGTGGCCTTTTCATCTACCCCTTGACAGATGGCCACGGGCTGTTTAGCATATTGGCCACTTTGTAGCAGTCAATCTGCATGAGAAGGGAGCGGGGGGGAAACTCTTGAGTCACTGACTTGGAGACGTTTGTATATATCATCCCTTAGATCACTGGTGTCAAAGTCAAGGCCCGGGGGCCAGATCTGGCCCGCCACATCATTTTATGTGGCCCGCGAAAGCAAATCAAGCATGTCAAGTTCCATGACGCTTGCTAAAGTCTCAAGGAAAAATTTCAAATGGTCATATGTAATCCACAATAATAGTCATTATTCTTGATTTCTGATTTTAAAACTAGTTATTCATCAATTTGTTGTGTCCTGTGTTTGTCATATGTAGAGGTGATTAAACGTTTACATGGTTTTGCAAAATTCATTTTGACTGATTGAAGAATAGTCAGCATATCATTAGGACTCACCTTCGGGGAACACTCGGAAAATGGTCCTCGTCGCTTAAGACATATTCCTTTGGGTAAAGTTTATACACGCATCATGTTTGCGCAATGACCCTTCGGGGGCATTTGACAGTTGTTTAGATTGACACATTCGGAGAGGTGTTGGAGGCAATAGGGTGTTCTGATATTCAGTATTCAGTAGTAGCTCAATTGGGTGTGTTTTATGTTTGCTCGTGTGACCGATTTATTTATTTTGGGGTGTAAAGTACGACAATACATTTTGAACTCCGGCTCATAATGTCAAGGTGTAATTTCAAGTGTCAGAAGTTAGCATTGGCGAGTCCACAATTGTTAGCGGGGTCTGATAAAAAGGTGGTATCGGTCCATCCCGTCGTCAACAAGCTTGTTCGACAAACACGGAATGACAAACGTGTTTCTCGACAAAAAGGTGCTCGACTGACGTGTCGGATATACAAAGAATCCTTTTCTGAAGCATTCTCATGTCCTACTGTGCGCCTGCGCTTAAAAAAAGTCAACTTCAATCTATCTGACAGTAATACGAGTGCTTACTGGAATGGCGGTGAAATACCTTTGCTGTCAAGATGAAATAGCACGACTCGGTTCAAGTTGATCGCTACGTTGTGGGTGGACGGACGCGTATGTAAAGATGCACATTCCTCTTATCTCACGCCTGAAGCATCCCATTTTAAGTCAACAGCCGTCATTATTCCCGAAAATGGGAGGGTGCTCGAGGCCACCGGAAATATATTCCGCTTTTTCTGCTCAACGCTTAAACCTGTCAACCTACGGGTCTGCGGTAATTGGACCGCTTTGTTTAGTATTCCGCGAAAAGCACCGTCAATTTCCCACATCTAATTGCCAAGTTATCAGCAATTCAGACCACCTGACTTGGATCAAATTAAGGGCGGCCAGGAGGGATCAACCAGAGAATAGCGCCTATCTGTCATCCGCTCCCATGTCTGGTCTCATCCATCACTCCGTTGACGGTCGCCTCCCAAATGGCAGAGGAGGATCTGATATTTGGCGCCGAGGTGCGCGGAACAAAGCGTGAGACTCCCAAGGCCGACTCAGCGGCGGCTAATGTGACGCCTCTCTCCGAGGATTAATGTGACATTTGACAAATGAATGCTTCTACACCTTCTGCTGTGCGGCTAGTCGGACACGCTGCCACCTGCATTCGAATGAGGCGGGCACCTAAAAAAAAAAAAAAAATGATGGTAGGTAGAGCTTGCTTTCTTTAATTACCGCTCCATAATCTCGAATGCATCACGGGGATGTGTGGGGGGCGCGGAGAGGCCGCCAAGTGTGGCATTTCATACTCCGCCAGGTGGTTGAAAGAATTTCTTCCGATGAAATCCGTTTCATTTATCTGCATACGTATCGCGCGCAGACAGCCTATCCACACCTGCTGACCCGCAGTTCAACTTTGAGTCAAACACCTCAAAAGTAGTTTCATCTCCAGGTTTCCCCGGAGAAATGTGCCTCGAATCATCAAACGCAATTTCAAAACATCATCATGCGCCAACATCAGCAAGTCATTGAGAATCTCAAGGATTAACCTGACAACTTCATTTACCGGAGTTGCAGTCATCTCCGGCAAAGCCGTCCTGGCACACGCAGAATCCGTCTTTGCAGATTCCTTTCTTGCTGCAGTTGTTGGCGCAGTACACCAGCGAGCAGTCTTCCCCCACGTAGCCGGGACGGCACCGGCACGTTCCGTTGACGCACAGTCCCTGGTCCGAGCAATCGTTCACGCATCTCCCGACCATGCAGTCCTCCCCGGTGAAGGAGTCCTCGCACACGCACTCGCCGTCGATGCACAAGCCGCGGCCCGAGCAGTCGGCCGGGCAGCGGGGCTCGGAGCAGTTTTCCCCGGCGAAGTCGCGGTCGCACACGCACTCCCCTTCGATGCACACGCCCTGGCCGGAGCAGTCGTCGGGGCAACGGGGCTCGGAGCAGTTTTTGCCGGTCCAGCCTTCGTCACATATGCAGCCGCACAGCTCCAGGCTGAAGCTGCCGTGGCCGTTGCATCCGGGGAAATAGTCGAAGCGGCCTGGAGAAACATTTATGCGTGAAGACATGTTACAATGCTTGAAAAATAAGTTGGGTCAGAGTACAGAGTTAACAGATGTCCAACTGATTTGGACCATTTATACGAAAACTTCAATGAAGGCTGTGAGGAACCTGTTTTCTGTAACATTTCATTTTCGTTATAAAAAATAAAAAATAAAAAAAAGATGTTTTTTGTGCTCAGGCCAAAGCCATGTCTAATATTTTGAAAAATAGTTTTGGCGCCATCTTGTGGCATATTGAAGACAGTGGAAGTTTAGTTTTCGCAGTCATCCATTCCAAAAAGTAGGAATGTTTGAAACCACTTTTTTGCAGATCGATACCCCTCGCTTAAGGGTTACAACTATTGCAACGCCAAGGCTAATTGTGTTAGCACGTCTGTGCCGTTTTTTTTGCATTGTGTGTTAAGATGGACTTTCGTAAGTGAATGCGCTTTGGTTGAATACGTAACGGGTCATTCTACGTGTTTTATGTTGAAGCAAGCGCCGCTGCATATCGTGAAGCGAGCTGCTCCCATGCTCACGACTAAAAATTTTGCTTGCAATTCATGACACAAAAAGAATGATAATGATGAAAAAAAAAATTACATCGGCTGAGTGACTTGTACCATTGCAGTATCACAGGAAGCACCGATGCACAAGAACAAACAACCACAATGGCGGAGGACGTGTTTTTCCTGACTCCCTCACCAATGGCGGGGTTCTCCCGACAGCAACCGGATCCACAGTGAGCTCGGAGCATGGAGAGCTCCCTCTCCAGCATCTCCACCCTGGTGGCGAGCTGCTGGATCGTGACAGTTGCCGGGCATCCGCATGCCGCTTTCGGGATGTTGATACGGTGAGTGAACGTCACCTGAAAAAGGACACGCAAATGTTTTTTTTTTTCTCCCCTTAAAATTCAATGTTCTTGTTTAATTTGCAGTCATTTTTGGACAATGATGTAGAAGAAGCAGATACCTGGCTGTCTGCATCCAATGTCTGTTCGGTGTACTCTGTAGGTCCAACTGGGTCCAGTGGTCCCTCCATAGAAGCTCTGGACCCAAGCTCAGCACGCGGGCCTTGGAAAAAGAATTTTTTTTTTTCCCTCGATAATCTACACCAGTGGGCCCGCATAATTGGATGAAATTGCCGTATCATTCATCAACTATATGAGTATCATACATAATAATCAAATGACTCCTTCGGTTCGGTCCAAATAAAGGTTCTAAAATGCCGGATCATTGCACGTCAAAATGACATTCCAGCATGAATGAAATTGTTCTTAAATAAAAGGCGTATTGTTACAGGAATGATGTCCTGAAACTTTGTGGCGCTTAAACCACAAATTTAACCGAGAATGAAACATTCTTGCAAAGCGAACCTTTGACCCTTTGTGTTGGTCGACAAATAACCAGCTGCCCGGTTGGTGAACATACAATTCAAAAACAAGCCCTTGAACTTGAATGCCCTCGCATCTGTGTGTAAACAAAAGCCAATCGCCGCCGCCAGAAAAATGAACAAGAAAACCTCACCATCCTCTGGTGGTGCAGAGGTGTCAAGGTCGACGGAGCAAAGAGATTCCACGGGTACGTTGATGTTGTACACGTGATTGAAGACTAAAGGTTGCTGCTGCATCGTCTGGTTGGTGGAGGAAGCTGAAGGCGCTTCCCCGTCTGGGATCTGTCTCCTCACTCGAGTGGTCCGAACCAGCTTGGTGTCTGCGGAGGGAGCAGCGTAAGTAGCACCCTATTCAGGAAAATAAAAAAAAGAAAGCACTTTTTGTCAGATTTGTTAAAACAGTTACAATTCAACAATTAAAAAAAAAAAAATCTGTCTTTTGGCCTCATCTTGTTCTTTTGTGCCCTGCAAATGAGTGATTGGATGTTTTTCCTTGGGCACGGTGGTTTCTTATCTTTCAAATTTTATGAGGCTAGCGATGGATTTTTTTTTTTTTTCATAATGGCTGGGTTAACAAAAAACTTCCCTTTCAAATGTAATGTAATTAAAAAAAAGATGATAGATAGATAGATAGATAGATCGCTTGCTAGCTAGCTAGCTAGATAGATCGCTAGCTAGATAGATAGATATACACACACGTGTGTATATATATATATATACAGTATATATAATGACATGAGAATACAGTAGACAGATATTTTTGAGATAAGACCTGTTAAGTGTCCTTGAGTGTTTTTGAAAGGCGCTTATAAATAAAATGTATTATTATTATCATTATTCTTACCTGCAGAGCCAAAAAGAGAGCAAAAACCAGGATCCAGCCTGGGGTCGGCGCAGAGGCCGCGTGGCGCTTCAGGGCAAGTGGCATGCTGGGAACAAACCTCTCTCCTCCGCTCACACCTGCGGCGGAAGGAATGGAATACATGGCGAATCGGAACGGTGGAAATGGACCCAAAGAAAGAAATAGAGCAGTGGAATAACAACAAAAGCGCATTCAAAAGGTTGGGGGGGAGACCAAGTCTCCTCCTTTACGTGAGTTTACCGTATTTCAATCATTGTGAATGACTTCAGAGTTAAACCGGTATTGAAAGACGGCTTGTTCCTGTTCGACGTCCATTGCTCAATGGCACTATGGCGTCAATAGACTTGCTGCAATTGTGTTCGCGTGTGTGTCTGCGTGTAAAGGGACTCCCAGCGTCAGATTCAGTCAATGGAAAATAAATACCTTTGATCAGATGTGGAGTGATTGCCTTTCGACAGGAGGGGGCGGGAGAAAGAATCAAGTTTTGAGGATTGAAAGCGCTAGCTCAGAAACACCGAACGCATTTCTCAACGCAATCACAGACATTTGATCTCTCCGCGAGTGGGGGACGCAAAAGTGTTGCTCGGGGAGGGAGCTGATAGAAGGATTTCAGGAGAGACGTGGTTTGGAGCGATGCCGCTGTAATCCTCTGTCCGCGGAGTCGGCGAGTGAGAGAGCAGAAGCGGAGAACATGCCGGAATAAAAGATACGCACGGTCCTCCTTGCAGAATGAGTGGATTGGAGTCCGTGCACATGAGACAATGTGCGGTGTTCAGGCAAGACTAGTTTTATTATGACTGTTTTTAACTTTCAGCCGATTCCAATTTTCTCTTTACGGACACGTATTGGATTGTCATGACCATTACGGCGACAGGAAGTGAAAATAGAACATGGACTCGGTCTTCCTTTGCAGTTGGAGTGGGATAGTTGCATCAATTTGAGCAAAGTGAGGGGTCTCTTGAGCAGCGGTGAAAGGCAAATCGACTCGAGGCGCCGTCGAACGAGTGGCAAAAATCTTCGTTTTTAGTTCCTGGTAGGCTGCCATGTCAGCACTTCCAAATTTGGTCATGCGTTGCCAAGTGACACCTTCAAATTAAACATGTGGAGTGTGATTAAGGGTTATTAGAGTCGTGCCTCGAGACACGAAAAACGCAACTCACGAATTTGAGGTAGAAGACACCATTCAGATGATGTTTGGTTTTCACTTGCGAGGAAAATGGTATTCGAACATAGCGGCGGAGCAACATTTAGACATACATATTCTTTATCCTCTGCGAAGAACAATTTACAATTGTTTTGATGTAAAATGTAAGGAATGCAATTGAGGAAACAAAGTGTGCAGCTTTATGTTAAGAGAGCTTCAGCAGCTTGATGTTCATGCTGACAAAAGAGACGAATACGTCAGAAATAGAGTTTTGCCTCGAGGCACAGTCCAAGCCTTTGGTAACTAGAAATAGAACAATATATTAGCGCGGTTTTATACTCTACGGTTTCACACTTCCATAGCCATGCGTTCAATGTCACAAGATTGGGTTGAGTCCAAAGGTCAAAGTGCAAAGCCTGATGCCCCAGAAGCGTCTTCAATCTGCGCGTGAGATCCACAGAGGCTCAATTAAGGATGGATTCCCTCACTCAAAGGCAAGAGGTTTCTACATCCTCCAGACTTGATTTATCCTCGAGGAGATCCACGCACTGAGTCGAACGCATGCAAGTCGACACAAATCTCTGAGTGCCGCTGCTCGAAATGCGCGCACATCACCGTAAGCAGTGTCATGCATCAAGTGTTTTTTTTTCTCTCTTGTCATTGTAATCATCATCCTGCCCGCCTTGATGCTAATTAGAAATGTCAGCATGCAGCCTCTCGATTGCACGCGTGCAGCTAAATCGTGTAGGCCCGAAACATGAACCCCCGCGTGTGGAAATGAAACGTGGGATCGGATGGCTCTGAAGAGTCGGCGGCCGACTGATTTTGAGCAACTTTGGAAAGTCATTTGGGAAAAAAAAAAAAAACCTGAAATCAATACGTGCGTAATACAACCACTGAATTACCCCGAGTCCAAAAGTAAATGATCAAAGCCGCATTCAAGACAGTGCGCGGCAATTTGCAGTTTTCACCAAATTAGATTCGTTCACTCCGAGATCAGTTTGAAATGACTCAAGTCAAAAGGAGGACATTTATGATGCATTTTGCCTCCTTGTAATCCATCTGTCACGGTAATCTCTTGTCGCTTCTCCAGCTGCCAGACCCTGAGGGACGCCGTTTGTCGGAGCAATCAGCGGATGAGAAGACATCAAGTACTCTTTCTCGACTCGAAGCTCGTCTCGGCCAGAAAACACCCACGTGCTGATCTGAACTGGCCCAGTGATGTCACAAAGGAGGAGCCAAGAGCAGGCCAAGTGGTCAAATTGACCATTCTGTTAAATTTCCTCTTCTCAAATCATCCCCCCCCCCCCGCCCCCGTTTCGCTCTTTCATTTGCCACTTTCATTTTTCATTATCTGCGGGCGTCATACTCATCAGCCGCCTTCATTCCTCTGATGGCTTTTCATTTTTCTCTTACTGAGAGGATTTTCGTTATCCGTTGAAAGTCTTTTTTTTTTTTTTTCCCGCTCACTTTGATACTCGGGGTTCAAAGAAGAGAAAGAGTGACATTTTCCCCATTTGTTTTATTCATTGTTTTTTGCGGCGTTTCTGACAGCGGCCCTGTTATGCCTCCCTCGCCGACCCCACGCACGCCGAGCCGTAACCTCCATTTGGCTTCACATTAACCTTGCGGGGTTAATGTCCTGCCACCCCAAACACGAAGACCAAACAGAGACCAGGTCTTATTGCGTAGGTGATTACTCACAGTCTCCATCCCTGGCCTCTCTCAGTTTAGCCCCCGCTTGCCTTTCTCTCTGGCAACATCGGCGTGCCTTTCCCATTATTACCATCACTTTGAGCAAATTGCTTTGTCTTTCGAAGGCCAGCGGGCTCCGTTCATCATGTGCGACTGCGACCAGCTAAGTCTTTTCTCAAGACGATTTCAAGGGGGCAAAGATCGCAACCAAGAAAGAGGGTTTCAGTTGAAAAGCAAATAATACGACCAATCGGTGACGTGCCGGGAAAGGAAGCTGTAAAAGGTTCGAGGCAACTACTGTAACACCGCGTGCTCGTCTGATACTGCAATTGAGCAGATAGCTCGAATGCACACTTTTTTTTTTTTTTTTTTTTTTTGATATCGAAGCAAAGAGAGCCGTGTGCATGCAGCTCTGCAATGTGCCAAAACCTGTTAATTCCCTGGCACTATCCAGAGGACAGATTTTTTTAAAAAGGACTCAATAACATTTTGAAATAGTTCATTTCACCGTAGCACCTTCTATTAAAAAAAAAAAAAAAAAAAAAAAAAGGCACGAGACTAAAGAGTAGGATGTTCTTCTCGACGACCCATATGGCTTGTGCACAATTGCTACAGATTGGGGTCGTTTAATTTGCTGTCGTCATTCGGACACATTTAGCTCTCCGACACTTCGACGGCTGAATGCTCGCCTGGCACAAGGATGTTGCCATAGCGTCCGCTGTCTCACGACGAGAAAACATTATCATCATTCAGGGCTAAAAGTGTTTCATAGTTTTCTTTGCTGACTACTGAGCTTATTTTCACCACATTCCGAATGACGTTGCCTATCCTTTATTTGTTTTACAGATCTCGAAGTAGGGGCACAAAAAGCAAAAACAAACAAAAAAAAAAAGGGGGTTATTCAATGAAAAGATTTGAGTTGAAGATTCGAGGGACAAGATATGAAATCAAGAATTAAAAACATGCCGAGTGTCGCCATGTGGAGCAGTTGGATCTGTGTGAGAAGACAGAAGGTGGCGTTATAAAGGAGACGACAAGAAAAGGGCAAAGGGGCCGTGCAAGTCCTCTAAGTTCAAGCAGTTACAAGTTGGAGAGAATCGATTGGGTGTTTTTTTTTTTCTTGAACTGTCTGGGGCAGATGAATACCGACTGACCTTCTATTTTTTTTTTTTTTTTTTTCACAATAGGTAGGCTACAGCCAGCTCCTTTTCCATTTTACAGCTTGACAGTGGGCCTTTGAAAATGGAAAAAGACATTAAAAAAATAAATTTAATGCTGCATATTTTTTTTAACATGTACAGTTATCAAAACAGTCGGACATCATTTAAAAATATAATTCATTTTAAATAAACGTAATTGCATTGGGCATGAAAGAATTAAAAAGTTTGGACTCCTTTTCATGGGGAAGTTGAATGAAAAATCAGAAGACTTCAGGATTCAATTTCTGAACACATTACAATGAATGTAAGGAGCGTTACATGTTAACATTATCGTGGCTGGGTTGTTTTTTTTTTTTTTTCATCAAATTTTTTTTCAATCACAGATCTTGAGGTCAGAAAAAAATATAGATTGAAAGTGAAATAACACTAAACCGCAAATTGTGGGATCCTGAATGGATCAAAATGCACAAAGGTTGAGTCCATCAATGCTAGTTGACGTGCAACAAGTGTATACTGCAGGTTTCCTGATGACATCTTTTTAAATTCAAATATCGAAACGTTGCATTGCTTTGGGTGCTTGAGTGGCTTAAAGGCTTTTTGCACCTCGATTGAAATCTTGCTTCCCCCACTTTTTTTTTTTAATGCACCGCCACGACCTCCAACAAAAAAAGCCAACATAAAAGGTACTTCAAATAACGCTACCCGCCGACTCATGTGCCCGCCGTCGTGTGTTGCCCTCGTCCCTCGCTTTCAGACGAGCCATTTCTCTCGCCGCCCCTTTTATGTTCCTGTTTCAAAGCCGGCTGTATCTTCGCGGAACACAAATGACAACGCGTTGCCCCCGAAGCTTTCATGAAAGTAAAAACACGTGCGGATGAAGCATCCTCTCCCACCTGTGCTATCACTCCACCGCGGTTTAAAGGTGGGCACGATGGCGCGCGCGGCAACAATCCGAAAACCATAAGCTGTGTGGCGACGATAAAGCCAACCACCGCAGATGAAACGGCACATTTGCTATTGTGTTGCTTGCAAAGCACCTTCTCGAAGGACTGGCTTTTGATGACCGCCATTATTATTCGGATTACCAGCTTAGACTCTTGCGGCCTGAGTTTCAGTGAAAGCCCCCCCGCGTTCATTCCAGACCCGCCCGCTATTGGTGAAAAATATTTGGACAAACCTTAATGAGACTTGTGCGGTTATTGGTGTGTGACTGT